CCCCAAAACCCCAAAAACCCCATAATGACTTATAGAGCTCATAATTATATTTCTTCTGAAATTAAAATATAAACATCAAATTGACATCGTTTAAATTTAAATGGAACCCTAGACATATTCTAATATCTATGATGACTATTTGGATGAGCCCTTAGTCTTAGTAATTTAATGCGGAATATGCGGGCCTAATTAAATACTTTCAATGTCTTCTAAGGAGAACTAGTGATAAAATGACTTTGTTGTCTCTATTAATGGACTATAAATGATTGATGACCCAGTAAGTCAAAACCCAGATAAAGGAGTAAGATCAAAACAAAAAGATTACAAAATTCACACTAAGCATCTTATCCATGAGTCTGAGTAATTATTAATGCTGCTTGAGTAAAATGAAAGTTCAAAAATAACAGTATAATAAAAGCGGTATTTAGATGAGCTAGTATATACTGGGATATTAGAGGTGAAATTTTGTGTTGAATGTAGAACACTCTTAGCTTTCAAATTAATAAGCACTGACAGTGTGCATGATAAGTTCCTTGATCATTATTTCTTCCTTTCACAATATATTATTGAAGGTCAAATTAGAGTGGATCAGTAGACACTTATTATTTTAAAAGAAGATCATGAGTAGCCTATGAAAGATTTAATATAAGCTGAAATGCTAAGTTCAGTTTAAAGATAATTGAAATAGTAAGAAATTATTAAGCAAGAAACAAGATAAAACAAAAACTATGCTAATAGTCTATAAACTGCAACTATTAGACCCCTTCCTCATCTAGTTCCTCGTGGGATATTTCTAAACAGTACAAATGATATCTTAGAAATCATGGATTTGATTGAGAATTAACAGACGATTTAAGAGCAATGCTACAAGATCACGCTATATTAGAATTTGCTTTACTAGATGACATCTAAATCTTGTGACTACATTGACATGCATAGAGGGTATTTAGAAAGAGCTAAACTTTCTTCTTAGTTCGATAGATTAATGAGTAAAATGACTCGCAAGTCAGTTGATAGCTTCAAAACTAAAAGACTTTAAATGAAGGACATCATCAAAGATCTTTTAGAGATCCAGAATAGAAAAGATCTAGATGAGTATTTGGTGAAGTATGAAGTGCATAGAAATGATATATTTGGATTGAGGTAGGATTTAATTTAGAGTAGTGAAAGTAGCGAAGAGTATTACTCTAATGATTACAGGTCAAGTGCTAATGTAAGTAGTAGCGAAAGTGAATACGGCGAGGGTAGTTTACAAATATGATTTAGCTTATATATTAATACTATCCATCATTGGCTTTTGATACAATAATTTGCTTTTATATTGAATCATTGAAATCTGTGCAATTTTTACTTACGGGGTTTTGGGGTTTTGGGG